GTGAGGAGCTTGTGGTCAAGCCTGGAGCAGTAGAAGACTGGGAACACCAGTACAGTGGTGAGGAGCTTGTGGTCAAGCCTGGAGCAGCAGCAGGCTGGGGAATCAGGAGGAAACTTAGTGCAGGGTCATGGTGCAGCAAAGTAGGGGTGAAAGCCAGGAAGACATGGTAGCAAAGCACAGAGAGAAACGAAAGACAGGGCAAAGGATGGGTCAGGAATCCAGGGAGAAAAATAAGTGACACATGGGAGCATGGGAACAAGGATAGGTCAGGAACTTGGGAAGAAAGCGGAGGAGCAAAGCCAGGATCAGAGCAAACGTCTATCAAGCAAACAGTCTAGGGAAGACTCTATACCACAGCCCCGAGCATCGTCTGAGCAGACCTTAAATACTCAGCACCACCTGACGTGGGCGTGGATGAAAACTGCCCACAGTTGATAGGGGTTCCCATAGCAACCGGCACTGAGGGACAGGTGAGAGGAGATGAGGCTGGCCACCGTGGCAACACCATCTCGCTCTGCAGTGCTCCCGCAGGAGCAAGGCTGGCACAACTGATTTGCTGACATCAAGAGGAAAGCTCGGTGTTTTCACATCCGAAGTTTTAGTGAAAAGGGAACTCTAATGGATTTGGGCAACGGATTCTGTGGAGCCTGGTCTTCGGCAAAAAGTAAGGAAGCCTGAATTAGCAAATCTAATTTCTGGGCTATAGTCATGCAGTACATCCTTGAGGTATTCAATGGCTAGAGGGTAAGAGTAACTAACACAGCTAATGTCACCATTTTTTAGCTCAGATGAAGTGAAGTTAAAGTGTAGAAAATTGCTATAACTGCTTACCGACAGATGTTTTTCCTTGACTTTAATCGAACTGATGAAGGGCTTCCTGATTCATGCTTTAGTGGTCATCCATAATTCTGTCTTAGAGCAGCGAGAAGTAACAAGTAAAATGAACCATTTCACACAATATTTAATCCATTTTCACATTTAATTAAAGTAATGATTTTTGTACATATAAATAAAATAACATAAAATATAAGAGATATGTGAATTACATATGAATATTATATATTGGAACCAAGAGCATTAGTTGTGTTTTAGTGCATTTCAATATATGCTGTATATTCAGTGGATAACAATATACTGTATAAGGTAACATTAACCTACCTCAGAGCACTATCCTGAAGGTGGTTATCTCCTATTAAATTAATGAGCATTGTACAGTATTAAAGCATGATGAAAATTCTTAAATGATGAAAAAGTATCAGTCTGCAGGTTTCAAACAGCAGGATACTGAAAAAGCCTAGAAAAGCATTTTATCCTGGGCAATCCATGTTTTCAACTCAGTTTACAAGGACAAGAAAATTAAGATTGCAAGTTGAACTCTAAATTTTCTCTTAATGCACCCACAATAATCTCCAGCAGCAACATTTGTCATTCTCATAATTATTATCTTTAATAGTTTAATAGTTCAAATCATCTACTATCTAAACCTCAATTTTTTCTGTTAAAGCATGAAAAAAACTGTTAAAGGTGCTAGAAAATATGACCTTGTACTCACCCAGTCTCAAACAGTATTGCAAGTTAACCTGTGGTTCTTCACAGATTATGAAATTAAAAGAAAACCCTGTGTAGACAAATATAGATTACTGACTATGACTTGTTAGAAGAAAATGAAGTTATTTTCATACTACATATGTTATTTTATTATCACTATATGTTATATGGTGTCTGATTTTTATTGAAGTGAAATGGTAAAAATCTGGTTGAACAGCACATAAGATCATTCTACACAGAGCTTCATATGACTGATATGAATATTTAGACACCCCATAAACTGGAGGAAATGGTGATGCAAAGGAAACTGAAATACCTTCTGCATATCAAAGACACTGTTATCTAGAATATCTCCAGATAACACTAAATGTCTTTGTTTCTGTCCATTCTTGCTTTATGTTTTTAGTTAGTTTAATATAAAATAAAATCATAAATATTTATAATACTTTGTGAGGCAGTAGTTGAGGCAGATGTTTTTGACTAATGGAAATATTTACAGAGGTATTAGTACCAAAAGAAAAAGGTTTACAGAGAAATAAGAGGTCGAGAAAAGACCACAGACCTTGAGGAAAGGCATTTCCGACAGATGCAGAAATACAAAAAAACAATCTACATCTTAGAGAGTTCAGCTGATTGTTGGTTCATTTTTTCATGCATCTGTTTGCAGATGCTAAGCATTCAGCGTGACGCCTAATGTGCCCTTGCAGTCATTCCTGCTTTGCTTTGTTTTGCCTGTTCAGCAAGGGGGAATATTTTCACTTCATTATGATTCTTTTGCTTCATCTGTACGAGACATTAAGGCATCCCTTGGCTGGTGATGTTAGGACTAGAGTAATGAAGTCCTTGTAAATATTGTCAACTATCGGCTGATTGAGACTGATAAACAGCTGGTCTGATTCCTCATTGACCTTCTTTATTAGTTTCATTAAATAAAATCAGGGGGCCCTCATGCCCTCACATGGAGGAGTCCTCCACCACTAACTTTGGAGGGCTCAGATTTCTTCTCCATGAAGTTTATTTACGGAGGCTCCAGTGCAATTTCCCACTATTGCACTGCCTGCTCGCCACAATTCACTGGAATCTCATTCATCTCATTGCAGACATTCAACTGATCAGAAGCAAGAAAGTGGCCATCTTTTAAAGTATTATTACGGAAAGAGGTACTGTACATTCATGACTAAAACTAAAACCACTCATTTCCCTTGATATTTTCAGACAGGATATAGTCTTCAGTTTTGCTGTGTTTTTTTCTTTTTATGCTTTACCACCTTTTGATGCGCTGAGCTGAAAATCACATTTAGTAACTACACCTAAAATACAGCATGCACAGACTGTAGTTATACGGATTAAACAAAATATTTGTTTTATAGAATGAAATCAACTTAAATTACAGTAACATGTTAATCCTTAAAAGTTGCATAATCTGTTAGATTTGATTGATGCAATATTTTTCCTTTATTATGCAATGGTTCAGTAAAATGTGAGATTGTGTGGAATGTCACAAAGACTAAAACTGACTATGCAGACCATCTTGCCATGTCCCAAGTTAATGTTACACAATGTTTTGAGGGTGCTGAGTTTGTTAAGCAAGATGAGTGTTTTTGTAAAATGATGTCAGAATCAACACTCAAAGTTAAAGAGTAGGATATTTATAATAGACAGAGACAGCAAACAGGAAACACACAGGACCTTCCCTGCTCTAATCAGAGATGCCACCTGTAAACCACGTCCATCTGCATTCAGTCTACACCCCCCTTGGACTTTTTCACATTTTATTCAGTTACAGCATGGAACCATGATGTATTTAACTGAGAGTTTTTGCCACTCATCAACACAAAGCATTCTTCTTTCTACTTTCTATAGGCACTGTATAAACTCACAAACCCATCCTTCTGATGAGATGTTAAACTGAGGTCCTGACTCTCTGTGGTCATTAAAAATCCCAGGGTGTTTCTCGAAAAGAGTAGGGGTGTAATCCCGGCGTCCTGGCCAAAAGTTCCCATTGGCCATTACCAATCATGGCCTCCTAATAATCCCCATCTATGAATTGGCTACATCACTCTGCTCTCCTCCCCACTGTGGGGAGTGTTCTGGCGCACTATGGCTGCCGTCGCATCATCCAGGTGGGGCTGCACATTGGTGGTGGTGGAGGGGAGTCCCCATTACCTGTAAAGCGCTTTGAGTGGAGTGTCCAAAAAAGCGCTATATAAGTGTAAGCAATTATTAATTATTATTATAAACCTGCCACAGCGATACATTCATTGGGACAACGAAGTTTTCATATTTCCTTTAGTCTTCCTCACAAATACCAACTAGCAACGCTCCCAAGTAATGCAGCAGAAATGTTCTTCCCACACCAGCACTGTTATAATATAGAAGGATGTCAGAAATACAGTATTCCTTCTTTTTTGATGAGACACTAACTGAATTCAGGACAAATACCTTTGCATTGCTCCAGTTGTCTGCCTCTTTATTGAAAGAGATGGATCTACTGTATGTTTTAATTGGATCAAGTTAAGTAATTTTAAATATTTCACATTTCAGTAATAAAGCAACAAATATGAATGAAAACTCCAGTGTTCAAAGATGGCAGATCTTTTGCAACAAGCATCTTTTGAAATGATTGCAGATAAAGTTCTATTTTTCTCTACATGAAAAGCAACAGAAATAAATATGTGCTGTAGTGGAGAAAAAAGGTGACAATTTCTCATGATCTTAAAAACACAAATTTTATTGAAGATACATTCAGATTGAAAATATTTAGTAAAATAAGCAAGATATGAATGATCTATAAAATGTGCACCTCAGTGTGCACTCAGTTTAACTTCAGGCACAGTTTATCTTGTGACTGTAAATAAGAAAAATGTGAGAATCCCATATGTTCTTGAGAAACCCACATACAATGGTTAACACCATTAAGCTGTTGCTGTTTATAGCATAGCACTGATGGCAATAATATTCATGAGTTTCTTGTTACTTTAAATGATGTGCTTAATAGATCAAATATTTACAAAGATATACATATACAGTTGGTGTAATATTTTTAGAATAAAACAATTACAAAAAAGTGAATATGTAAACCACTGATTAATGTTCTATATGGAGAGTGTTATTTTGTTATTTTGAAAAGCAGGTGCTAATCTCCATCATGAGTAAGAAATAACCTGTGCATTAAAAAAGCTGCATGGGTCTGGTGTCTGTGCAGATGAGATTTTGGTGGATGAAAATTTATTAAAGTGAATATTCTGCTGAGATGAGTTTATTATGTGAGATTATTATGTGGAAAAAGCCGACATGAACCATTTTTGTATATAATTAGCCTTTTAAAGACAACAGAATGCCTGGGTCATGAGAAGCTCCTTAAATGTAAATATATTTTTTTTAACCAAGCAAATGTAAACAAATTTTATGAAACTCAACTTTTCAATTGGGGTTTTGTTTCAGTCATGTTAATATCTCTCTGTATATGTTTTATTTCTATTTGGTTATGTTTGGGATAATTTTGCAAAGTCACTTTTTTACTTTTCTTTTGTAATAACATCTTTACATTTACAGCGGGATTTCAGTTTTACCAGTCCACAATGTGTTCACACAGACATTTTCTTACTGATTGAGGTTACAGTTTTACATATTGTATATTGCCTACTGTATACTGTATAAACAGCTGGACTTCAAGTCCCTTAACACAATAAATGTGATACAATTGTTTCCAGTTGGGTTGTTGTGTTTAAAATCTCATATAGGATGGGTGCTGGCATGGCTGTATATGCTCAGAATTATTTATTTAATTGTACATTTTACAGGACTGTGGTACTGTAACTGTGGAACTTATTGTTGAAACTGGCACTGTTAACTAAAAGGAGAAATGCTCCTTTTAAACAGATCACTTATTAAAAAGCACAGTGGATCTCCTTCCTTGTGGTTTTTTACACTATAATCTGGTAAAATTGTATAAGCGTATCATGATAAGAAAAGCATGAAAGAGTAGTACTGTTAAATTCTAAGAAAGTTAAAATCTGAGTAATTTGCCTACATGTTTTTGAAGTTCTGTATCTCATGACCACAATTTCAGAGGCTGTGATGCATCTGCTTTGTGTTTGCTTTTTAATAAGCATAAGACCAAAGTAAACATCTTAATGACTCAATATATTTGTCTTTTTTAGCCACCAAAAAAAATATGTATATAATTTATATCACTGAAATTATTGTTATTATAAGTCATAATAACAGCGATTACAATGACCTCTAAAATGGATGTTGGGAGAAAAGTGTGAATGTCTTCATGACAAAGAAATTATATTTCTCTGCATTTTAACACTTGGTAACAGTAAAACAAATATATACAGGCCAGTTCCAAAGCAAAGCTTAAACAAAATAAATTATAAAGAAAGTATTAAAAATAAAGGATATTACATGGGTTTCTAGCCTGACCATGCTCACTATGAAACAAGTTTACAATTTTTTTTTTGTTTTGTACAATCCACTATTTAATTTCTAATTCCTGTCAGTTACTATGTTTTCATAAACCCTCTACAATGTCCTGGTAAGAGCAAAAATGTCAGAAGATAAGAGGTCCTTTTTTGGTTGCTAATTGGAGTTAGTTGATCCATCCACTTCTTGAAAAAAGAGTACCGGCTTTTGATGACATGGTGGGATAGCTTATTCCAGACTCTCACAAGATGATTGCTTTTGCATGAATTAATCCATTAGCCCTTGTTTTCTAATACTATCTCCTTGTTTGTGGGGGACTGTAAGTTTGACTGTTAAAACATTTAAAGATTTCCTTGTCCTTCTATAATAAGGTATCTGAAATTATCTATCTTGAACATGAATCCGTTTAGATGCATTTATAATTATAAATACTGTACTTGACTGTTTGACTTTCTGTTCATTCAATTTTCTGTGCTTCCTTAATACTATGGTCAGCCCCTTATTTAATTATTAAAACATGTAAATGTACTATTTATTATTTATAAGCAAACATTTTCCAAAATTTACTGACTGCAAGATCCAAACAGTTGACAATTGCTTGGGGTTACAGCTACAGAACCCTTGTTGTACGAAGGTCAGTACTAGACCGAGAATAGACTGAGGTTCCTGATTCTGAGATCTCTATGGTTAACATCTTACAGTTTTTACAGATAAAACAATATGATGTCCATTTCTGAAGTAATCTTCTGACGCACTTTTTAAACTCTTGCCCAGCAAAAGCATAAATGACGGGATTCAAACAGCAGTGGACAAATGCTAAAGTTTCTGTTACTTGTATGGCAACATCCAGATGATTTCTGGTATCACAGTAGTCTTTTGGAAGTAACCGCAAGATTTCCAGAGAACGTAAAAAAATAACAATGTTGTATGGCATCCAGAAAAGGAAAAACACAACAACAACAATAAAAATTAGTTTGACAGCTTTCACCTTTTTGAAATTCCTGCACCTTTTTAAAATCTGAAGGATGCCTGAATAACAAAAGATCATAACAGGTAGAGGAACAAGTAGACCCAAAATATTTATTTCAAAGTTCATTATAAGATGCCAAAAGGTCTTGTGTTCTTCAGGAAATTCAGTTTTACAGGTTATTCCAGTTGATTCATTTTGCACTTGGGTGAATACAATTGTAGGAACGGAGGCACAGAAACTGACCAACCATATTGCCAGACTCACAGAAGCTCCGTGAGAGACAGACCTGAACCTCATGGTAGAAGTGGCAAGAACTATTGCCATATAGCGATCTATGCTCATAATCATGATGAAGAAGATGCCACTGTAGAAGCCAATCAGATAAAACCCCATGATTGTTTTGCACATGAATTTTTCAAAAACCCAGTTGTTGCTGGCAGCATAGTGAGACCAGAAAGGCAGAGAAAAGACAAACAGTAAGTCGGACATGGCCAAATTCAGGAGGTAAACATCGGTCATTGTTCTCAGCTTCTTGAATTGGATCAAGACACAGACCACCAGCCCGTTTCCAATCAATCCAGCAATGAAGACGATGCTGTAAAGCGTGGGAAGAAACTGAGTGCCAAATTCCCTGACGTTTTTGGCGTTGCAAGGGGAATAGTTTTCTGTTGAGTCGTAATAATAAGAATAATCATTTTCTGTAGTTGTAGAAGGTGGTGTAGAGTAACTCATTTTGGGGTTCTGTAACAACAAGAAAACATACAATACTTGATGACTTTCACCAAAGCTGCAGTACCTGAAGTTATCAGATTTCTATATAATTGATGTTCATGCTTTGGGAGAAGCCTAATAGTAACCTTAAATCTTAGTTCATTCACGATCTGATTGATTTAGACCCCAGCCTGGAGTAACCAAAGTTAGTAGCTTCTTACACTTATTTAAGAATTTCTTTAACTTGAAACACAAACTCCAGTAAATCCCGAGACATATCTCTGACCTTCTAAGTAAAACTGAATTTAGTATTTCGATGAGCAGTGTTGCATTTAAGACCTTTAAAAAAAAAGTCACTAAATTATTGAATGCCTGATTTTTCTAATAGAAATCCCTAAAATATATTTTTAAAATTTGAATATTTATATTACTTGAAACAAACATCAGTAGTTACCATTAATAGTTAAAGCATTATTATTTTTTCAAAACTTTTATATTTTGAGTTAAGGTAATTTTGTTTAGTCACTCCATTTAGTTATCATTTTATCATTTACCTCTTTTCACTTTCTGGAAAATGGGACAAATAGCTAATTTCAAGCAAAAATTAACAGGGCTTAAATACTTAAAAGATTTCACTAAAACAGTACGACAATCAAAACAGGTCTAAGCAGTAATACTGTTCTACAGGTATGACCTGCCCCCTACAGGTCAGTTGTACTTATGAATCCAAAACTAGCACTAGGATTTACAATAGACTTAATAAATGAAGTCTTATCATCCTAACATTTTTCCTTATAATGATGCAGACATTCTCAGTAAAATTATTATTTTAGAAAATAACCTAAAATATATGTTTTTTAAAGCTGACAGCCCTGATAGTTTCCCTACGGTCATTTGTTAAAAGTTCCTTTGACCAGCAAATCAGAAAGGAGAATCTGTGCTGTTTTGTACAACAACCGCTTGTTACTACATATGTGTGACATATCATTCAAAAAAACTATAAATTGCAGTTTATAAACTGTAGATTTATACAGTAACTTCGAGAAATATTTGCATATCAACATTATTTACAATAAACCTTTTCCTAACATTTAATAGCAGCAAACAATTACAGTAATATTAGAATTACAAGTGTAATTGTAAATTAACAAGAAATTGTACAATATTACAATTTCTTCATTATTATATAGAAAGGGCATCACATTGCATGATAATTACAAATTAGTGGAGAAAGAACCATACAGGTACAAAAACTCTACTTAATGCAATACTTATACATGCTGATATAATGCCCACCTATACATGCTGATAAAAGCCTCCACTCACCTGATTTTTTTCCTGGTCCAGTTCACCTTTTTGTTTGGCTTCATCTGAAGCAGGAAGATGTCAGCTTTTACTCAAATATCATAAAGCACGAGTTCAGCAATTTCCTGATTAAAAAAAGAGGTGTGTCAAACTTTAGCACGGTGGTATTTTTAGGCTAGATAATATGCATATTTTAACACTTTGTTTGTTTAAGAAAGTATAGTTAAAATATTTAAAGATAGTTACAAATGTATCCAGATTTTTTCCTCTAGTATCCTCTGCTTCCACTGCACTAACTAGCTTTTGCCATAATGCCCCAAAACACTTATCAGACAGAAACCTTGATCTATATTGATCTATATACCTATGATCTATATGAATGTACAATGTGTGGGTGGAGCTGGGGGAGGATAGAAGGGTCTGTGTCTGAGCCTGGAGAATGAGCTTGAATGTCTATTGCTCACTCATTTCCAGATTCCTCTCCCTCTCACTCAGTCACTCAGAGAGTTCAGCAAGTCCACATTATGTCATGAGTTGATAAAGACATGCTGCTACAAATCTTCGCAGGGAGACCATCCCTGGAAACTTTACTTTTGTTGGGATTTTGGTGGAGATTCATTTTTTTAAAAAAGGAAACATTCAGGAATATATTTCTTTTTTTTCTCTAAATAATCTTGCATTTAAGCTATTAGTCAAGCACTCAGAGTTGCAAAGCAGTTTTGAAAATAATACATTGTGAATATCCGCTTCAAGTACATCAGTGAGTTAAAAACATTGTAACAGAGAGGGAATTTACTCCTCTTGTACTCAGAGACAACACTGAAGAGGAAGGCTACAGAGCATTCTCCCAGTTTTTTCAAATTAATTCCACTGGTTTTTGCATCTGCAATTTTCACAACTGTCATATTTTCTGTAGATAAACATATGTTACACTCCTAATCAAATTAATGACTACATGAAATTAATAAACCTATCAAATGCTGACTGAATGCCACAGGAAAAACACCTGAATATCTTCGGGTGAAGAAGGGTTCAGTACATGAAAAAGGCTCCACAGCCAAAACGTTGTTTCCTTTCTTCTCTTTTCAGCAGGAATAAACCTTTACTTGTTACTTTACAGCCCACGCATGCTGAAACAGCTACCTACTTGAACTATACTGTATATCATATTTCCAGCAACTGCTTAAAAGTGAGGTACAGTATTGAACTACAGAAACCCAAGCCTGACATCTGTAAAGTAAACATTGATTCTATTGCTATTTGTGCTGCTACCAGTATATTGCCGGCAGTTACAGTTATACTGTATGACTACACTACCAGGTTGTTCTATGTAAACATACACATAACATAAAACACGTGAATGCAAAATAAAACTAATTCTTGTTATCATTTTAATTTGTTTATCCTGACAGTGTAGCTATATTGCTTTGTGACAACAAACATCATTGCTGTATTAAAGGTATTAGTAAAAGAATAGCATGTTAAATGTTTGTTTACATAATTTTCCTAAAACTTATAAATATACAGTAGTGTGGTAATATACTGTACAGTACAATAATATACAGCAAACTTTGCTGTACTGAAAGAACCACACTACCCTCTAGTGATCAAACTATAGAAATACACTTCGCCATGCTTGAAGAAATCTGTATACTGTGTAGGTTTTCTGAATGGAGGTATTATCAACACATTTATAAAACGTGTTCTTGTTCACAGCTCTCTTGACCACATTCGGCAATCATCCCCACCTGGCACCTTCCCCTGCAACAGAACTCGCTGCATCACCTGCAAATACATATCTAACAACATGCTCATTCAGGGCCCCTCAGGTCAATTCCGGATCACCCTGATGACATCCTGTATCTCCAGCAACCTCATTTACTGTATCTCTGGCAAGAAATGCCCAGCTATCTACGTTGGGGAAACCAGAAGGAGACTAGGAGACCGCTTCAGAGAACATGTCAGATTTCTCATTTCATCTCATTAAAGATTAAAGATTTCTCATTTCATCTCAGATGGCCATGATCACACTGATCTCTCTGTCTCTGTTCTCAAAGATGGGTTTCTCAACTCGTACAGCAGAACTACTACAGAAACTAAACTCATCCTGAAACTGGGTTCACACCTTCCCCCTTCTCTCAATGACCGACTTATTTTCGTGTAATCTTCTCTGTTCTCAAGCAGGTTTGACTTCACATCTTTCTCCACCCCTCTCCACTTTGCACTTCCTGAGTGGCCTCTCTGCCTGTCCCCTCTCCCTCCTCCTCCACTTTTCCTGCTTTTGTTCTCCTGTGCTATTTAATTTTTGTGCTATTTTGCCATCTAACCTGTCTTTCTCACACTTGAAGACGGCTCCACGGCCAAAACGCTGTGTTTCCTTTCTTCTCTTTTCAGGATGGAATAAACCTGTTACCTGTTCCTTTGCAGCCTATGCATGCCTGTAAAGCTGTTTATGATAAAAAAGTTTTAGTGCTGAAGACTGTCATTGATCTGAGTTCTAAAATTACTCTTCTGAATTAAGTCTTTCGATTATAGTTTTCCTTTTCTTTCTGTATAACAATTTTTCCCCTTGAAAGTTTATTAACTCAAAATTACTCATATCTTCACCCTCATGAAGTTCCACAGCAGATCTAATTTCAGTAGAAACAGGGATAATTAAATTTTCAATCGCACCCTGTATGGTAAACACACTGCCAAGTGCCTTACCCTAAAATTATGATTAAAAGAAAAGACAAGAGGGAACAGTAAAACAAATAAATTAGATAAAATAAAATAATGCGCAATCTAATCTTAAAATTGAGATGAAAAATGTTTAGAAATGGCTTTTCAGTTTTGTAAAGTAGACACATGTCCACAATTTATATGTGGGGAAAAGGACATTCCGCATCTTAGGACATAACTGTAAAAGGTTTTCAGATCCTCAGTATGACATTATTTTAAGCAAATTCTCTACATGATGAAATACAGAAGCTAAATAGACCTTTAAGTGTGCAAAGGGCCATATTACTCATGACGACGTGGGTCAATAAAATAATTTTTAGATCAAAACGTCACAGGTGCTCAATGCCAGGCAGCTACACTGGAAAACTATGTTCACATCTGACTCATTTTCTAGAATGGAGTTGACATCAGATAAAAAAAACACAGCAGTAATCCAGACTAGAAGTCTCAAAAGTATTAACTATATTCTCAGCATCTCAACAGGACAGGATGGATTAAAATGGACAATTAGCACAAGAACAAAAATGAAACTCTTAGAATACTCTTTACATGACATGTCAAAATTAGGACTGAAAATAATACTAGTTATTTTCAGTTGGGATATTGGCCTAATTGCCAGTCCACTAGTAACAAAGCTAAATGTATTACTTTTGTGTAAGTGATGAGGATCTGTTTATATTTTTTAACAGACCTTCATAATGTGATGTGTTAAATGGCAATATGACACAATTGTCACGCCCTCTACTAATTACACTCAGCCCTGAGCACTTCTGCCAAATGACACCACCCCTGCAAATCGGCCAACCACGACACTTCATCAATCAACGCACCTTCTTCCTCGCACAGTACTTAAACCCTTCTGAACTCTCTGCTCTTTGCCTGGTATTGGTTGTTATTTTAGTTAGTTAGTTTCTGTTTCCTTCTCACTCTTTGTTGCCTACCACAGAACTCACCTTTGCTACGTCTCCTGCCTTGCCCCTTCGGATTTGGGAGCCTTCTTGATTGACCTTCACCTTTGGATCACAGAACTGCCTTTTCGATTACGATTTCAGCCTTGCTCTATTCTGGATTGGAAACCTGCTCTGCTACCTATTTCTATGAACCTCGATCTCGACTTGGACTCTCACCTCGCCCCCTTAGGTACCGCATAGGGTTCATCCTCCCATTTCCTCAGCGGGTCACCCGTGACAACAATGGTATCATCATCAATGAAACAATTAAGATACAAGTACAATGGTGCTTAAGTAATTCCACACACTATTTAAAGTAGAAAATAACCAATTAAACAGACTTTATGGAAGAAGCAGGAGTAAATAGTTTTAAGACCTCTTTGTCTTTGTATCATGAAGATGAAATGTATTTTTTCTCTTTAAAATAAATGTGAAAATATAAATTATATTCTACATACTGTATGTTAAATGAAAAGGAAGATGTTTCAGTTTTTAAATGATTTTGCCAATCGTAGGCCTTAATCTCCAAACAACCAGTACTTCAGTACAGTATATTCCTCTTTGGTTGGCATTAATTGGATGCACATAAAATTTCCTGTGTGAAGAATCCTTTGGTTAAAAACAGGCTCTCCTGGTGAGTGGTTGTTAAATAGGGAGATAGATTCCCATTCGTTTGGTGACATCTAGGTTTACAGAGAGATTTAATGCAGGGAAATCAGAGTTCCCGAAATACCACAGAATAGCAACTTAACTAGGTCCAAACTGAAATTCAATCTGGATTTAGGAAATAGGAGCTCCCGCCTTCTGTCTTCTGTCTCTTCTTTTCTACCTCCCTCCTTGGCTTCTCCATCCTTTCCAAAGGTGTCTTTTTGGACTCTTGATTGACCCAGAACTTAATTATCTAAGGTAAAACAAAGTCAACCTCTCAATTACTTTGATCACTGAACCTGGACTCCTTGTTTTGGAGCTGGAGATGTTAACATCAGCCAGGTGTTACCCATTATCTCTAGATTCTTGGAGACACTTCTATAGTCACCTACACCTGAACCAATACAGAAAGCACAAACTCATCCCACTGGAGCCTGAAATCAGTTATTGGGATTTATTTCCCCACAATACTACTAGCAGAGCAGCAGTGGACAACGTTGTCCTGGGCCAGATGTTGCCAGGTGTTGCCACATGGGCTTCCTGGTGCGTATGCATGCACAGCTGGCCCTCACCCGGGAAACAAGCAGTTCACATCATTCTGCACCTATACATTTTTGTGGTACCAAAGCACATATGTGAAGGTCAAGAAACTAATTTCTTGACACTTTAACAGTGTGCCTTTATACAGGAACGTGTAAAGGTTTAATCCATGCGTAAAAGAGAAGGAAAGAAACAACGTTTTGCCAGTGCCTTTATACAGATGCTTTGAAACAATGATATTACAAGAAACCATCTGCGTAACGATAACACAAAGGCTTGATTTCTTACCAGTGGGACATTGTGGCATTCATGCTTAATGCTCTAGTGTTACCCTCACAGCCCCCTTGTTAGTCACAGGTGCATGTTCACGGTGACAAAGAAACGTCAGAAATATCCTGTTGGATAGCATTAAGGTTCGGTGTGAAGAGAGATAGAGGCTTATTTTCCTTTTTGAGATGAATAACTTGGTAGCCAATCGGATTTCTGTTTCTTAGCGGCAACAATTGATACCGCGGTAGCAGTCCCCTCTGAGCCACAGGGTGGCGCTACAACTTTGTTTCAGCTGGATTAATGGTGGAAAACAACCATTCGCAAACGTGTTGCTTACTAACCATCTTTTCTTCTCAGATTTCTTTACTAAGAAAATCATTATATTTAGTGAGATCGGCCTGTTAAAAACAGCGAATATTATATTTTTAATGAAATCCCGTATACATGTTATAGCATTACTCCAACACGTAATAGAAGAGCACACGTCGGTTTCAACTTGTTTATGCGCTGTTACTACTTTTTGGAACATTAATTCACTTCTAAATATGTTTTTGTAACGTTTTCTATTAGAGCACAGAGCTGTCCTAGACTATACTGGTACTTGTGATACAAGTCACTTTATTTTTTCTCCTAAGCCTAAACATAGCGAAATAAAGCTATTCTACTCTTGACTGTACACTCGTAGCACCTAAAAAAGGTGTTTCTCAAGCACCCGACCCCTCGTGTGATAGCGCTGAAATCCCAGCCCCGGCTTGGCCGGAGAGCGGGACCTCCAGCCTGCTGTAATGAATTCCCTGTGTGATTGACAGGGAGTGCTGACGGAGCCGAGTGGGGGATAAAAGTGGAGCGACGGCAGAAAGACGGGGAGAGGCGATTCTTGTCCAATTTATAAACGGGGAACTGGATTTTTGGAAACCGCACATAAGCAAGGAAAGGGGGGATTTGCGTCAGATGTAAATCGAAGTAAGTACTGGATCAGGAAAGCAAAACCAAAACCACAATGTAACTGCTGCCTTTGTGGATTAGTTTGAGCGCTGACTTCAGTCGCTGTTTGTGTACCGCTGTAACTATGCGGCTACACTTCGCCTGCAAATGACGAGAGTCCTGCTAGCAAGCTGTCACTTTCGTATGCACTGTGCAGCGGTGCACTGTACTTGCGCATCGTTTGTTAAATGAATTTTTCTTGCGGTTGACATTGGGATAATAATTGATAAAAGTAACAGTCGGCCAAAGCCCTTGACAAGCCCCCGTGGATTTCAAATTCTAAAGTTGTTGAGGTTGTTTTGAACCTCTACGCCACCTTTTGGATTTTAGTTTACTAGTACAGTAAAGCGAGCCGATCTGGTCATTGCCAACGCTACTTGAAAATCAACTAAAATACCTGCTTATGACGAGCCTACTGTATGTTCGCTCCGTCCGAGGTATTTCTCCCTCAGCTATTGAATCGGTGGCTCGTTTTCCATGAGAACATAAATCTCTAAAGGAAAGTTTTTTTTTCCAGTTTGCAGAAGTGCGCTTTCTCATGGATCCCTACGCATTGAATTGGTTTACAATGTTAATTTAGAAGGAAAACCATCGTGCCTCAGAAGACAAATACCGTGGTACTGTACGTTTAATTTGCAAATCGATATTAAGAGAAACTGTACCTGTTACAGTACAGACTTTAGGATGGAAAGTACAGCGAATACATCCACAAAACCACCGACAGGGTAAGTACTGTATGCATATTTTTTTACTTGGGCCACAGAGATGTCAATATGTGCAGGGTTGCTTTTTTTATATTCAGCATTAAAAATAACAGAAATACTGTACCTAGTGTTTTTAAGCCATTGATACTATACCATCTGTTTTGATTTAGAGGGGAAGGAGATTTTTTTTTTTGCTTTGATCCTTGAAAAGTGACAGATTTATAGACAAGACGGTGTACTTGACTGCCATTTCTCGTTTTGACTCTTTTTTCTCAGGTGGGTTAACTTAATGGTAAACTACAGTCTAAAAAGCAGCTGTGAACCCTTCAAGTCTTTAAAAAGAAATATGTTTTTTAAGGTTGCACTGAGCCAGTATGGATATTAATAGTTGCACTTAATTTCTAAAGACATAACTGGGCTAGGAATTACTTCAACAGAAACAGCAGGGCTCCGATAACTACATTCATAGACTGCGTGTACTTGCCGAGAATAGACGGACACTTCACAGACTTGGGAATCGCAAGCGCGCACATTTCTCTAACAAAGATGCCTTTTGTTGTTGTGCTGAAGGGCTGGGCTTGTAAACGGAGATCAGTTTAAGTGTATTTTGAACCGCGGATAAATGGCATCTGCCATCTGGCAAGCGCTGATGGCATTAACAAATGTTGGAAGTCCATCTCACTAAAAGGCTAGAATCAGGTGTACTTTGTTTCGGGTGGTTGTTGTTGCTGTTGTTGTTAACGCGATGATCATTTTTAATGAATATTTTTTTTAATAAGTCCTTTTCTAATAGTACGTGAGTTGGTTTTCATGTACTAGGCTGTATTACCAAAGTCTTTTATGAAGCAAATAGATTAAAGGGGCAGTGGGGTTGATTGAAATAGTGGCCTTTTACTGAATTGAATTATTGGGTAGTAGTGAAGCCTTTTCTGTGATATTTTTGAAATTCTGTTTGTAGCGGTTGCTTTATAATATTGCCTTAGTCCATAGTTTATAGTTTAAACAAAACAATTGTTAAATAACAATGTTCAATTTATTCAGCATAGTGTGCAGAGCAGTGATCAGGCTTTCTCTAGACTGTAACACCTCCAAGATATAGAAACCATTGTCATGATTTGCAATTTATTTTATTCTTCCCACTTTTGAAACTGATTGCCTTCTAAGACCAGGTAGCCAATCAACAACAACATGCAGTATGTGGGCATGTGGAGACACCTGAGACATTAAGCTGTGATAGCGGTCAGCCAAATTCGAGGCCTGACCTGCCCATCTGCAATCTTCCTTTGGGTGATATAATTGAAATCAGGCTGATTTTGACTACAACCAAAGCTGCCTCATTTTTCACCTGAATATTTGCTCCAATAACTTTGATAGCGACACTAGTATCTATCAAATACTTTGTGAAATACTGTATGGGAAACATCATAGTATAACAAAATCATAGCATCAGCTCCGATCAAGAAGTGGTGTACACATACAGTACTACTGTTAATAACAAAGTCCAGACTGCGGAAAATGCAATTCAAGTATGGTACAGCAAACCAAGATGTCCGCCAGACTGCCACTGGTCTTTTGTGCCATTATCTTCCAAACATTCAGACTGTGTTTGGTTAAACAATGCATGATAGATCAGCTTCAAAACTGGCAGACATCCTGGGCACTTGCTGATATATTGCAGGACAATAATAAGACTTCTGCATCAACCAGGATGGGTGTCTAAGCTGCATTTGGAAAAAAAAAGTTCAGATTCTTCCAGACCAATAGATTAGTTTGAAAAATTTGCTTCAATGCAGCTCAGCATAAACAGCAGCCATAACATTTTATCACAATGGTACCGTTTAAAATATTGGAAAGCAGCCACAAATCTAAACTGTTTTAAAGTGTTTATGTTCAAAACATTTTTTAAACAATTCAAAACTAATTTATTCATGTATATTTATTTATCATCCTGGAATAAATACAATTCGAATATTATAAAATGATATTCTTGTGCAAACTAAGATGGACACTTCACTACCAGTGCCATCTTCAAAATGTCAAACAGCATGCCCTGAAAAATGGTCTTGCAACAGATTTTTCAGGCATCATCCATATGCAATGATTCAGATCCGTAAACTTGCTCTGTAACAAGTGCCTTCATTGAAACCTGTCTGAGAAACCTCCAAATATTGCTGCTGAAAAACTATTCAGGCATTTCTCTCTAAATCTGATAGGTGTGTTGAATAGACTTGTGCTGCACAGTGGTGCAGTGGTTAACATCACTGCCTCTTAGCGTGGGGGCCCTGGGTTCAGATCCTGGGGTGGGTGGGGTTTCTATGTCCCCAGTGTTCATGTGGGATTCCACCAGGTGCTCTGGTTACCTCCCACTGTCCAAAGACATGCTGGTGGGTTAACTGGCTTCTGGGAAAATCACCCCTGGTGTGTGAGAAATTTGTTTCTAACCTAAATCCACTTGATGAATGCTTGAGGAATATCTGAGATGGCTTTTACATAATGAAGCTGAATGGTAACTACTTAAGCTTCTGATTTATGGTAGTTATTTTAAGCCAGCAGTTGCTTTTCATTCCTTAAACCATACGCCTGTGCTATTCTGCAACAGTGGCATTCGTTAAAGTAATTAGCAATGTTAAATACATTGAATAAACAGTTTCTTCTGCAGAACTATCATCCAACTAATATATGGAGTCACTTGTAGTGTTTCTGGTATCATGTTTTGGTTCTTACAGTGATTACATAAGCTGAGGCCGGAGCAGTTATACAAACTGATACAAGTTTAGCCAGTGCATCTCAAGTGACTGTTGCAGAGGACAGTATGCCTGGCTAATCTTGGCAAGTGTCTTATCATGACTGCAGTGTAACTGCATATGGCTCTGCTGCTGATCAGACATAATGCACATGCTTGTATCTGGTCTTGATACGTTAGCCACACTGAATTAGAGGTCTGATACTGACGTATTAGTGTAAATCTGGATAACACTTTCATATATTTCACTTTTAGTTTTTAATGAGTGTACAGTAGATACCATACATTTATTTCATTTTATTCATGAAGGGATGTTTGTTGTATACCTTATGCTCATTTATATAAAAAAATTAAAGTATCTTGAACACTTCACAGTTATCATTTGGCTCTTGGTGCTAAGATTAAGGTGTTGCCAGTGCTTTATTGACTTGAGAGTAGCAGACAATTGCTAGTAGTTTGTTATACTGTATGGGGACACAAGTAGAAATCTTTGCATCACTTCTGATGTTTCCTTTTGCCATGAAGGGCACTGAAACAAAGGAGGCGAGAGCAGAAGTTTGTGGAGAGTTTTAATGGCTTTACTGTGCTAGAGATGGATCCAGTTTTTAGTTTTTTAACTTTGCATCTTAGATCATTATTTTTGCAAATATGTCGCAGGATAAATTGCAAAGTTGGTAACTTTCATACGATGTACTGTAAGCATTATTTATCATTTTTCCATAGGGTAGTCATTTGACCTTTCAGTCCATATTTCAATAACATACTTAATTATTTTTTTGGCAGAAGTTTTGTAGTCTCTTTAACTGTAACAACAGTCCTCTTGCAGAGGGTGTGTACACTGTACCTCTTAAAGATTCAAACTAAGCCTCTTTTGAACAGTATTGTAAAACACAAGCTTTGCTTGCTATTCTAAAGGGCTTTAAATGGCTTTCTCCTGTATTTTATCATTTATGCTGTGAAAGGCTTCAATAAGTACATCTAATGCCTGATTTCAGCAGAATCTATATCAAGGGCATCTAGAATGTTCTTGTTATTGGACAGCATTGGAACACAGGTTTTGAATTAAGTTTCATTCAAACAATATTTTGTCCATGTATTGCCATTATTAAAACATTTAACCATAAAGCCATAATTTATTTTAATTTTTAGCAATAAAAATATTTTTGCAGTCTCTTATTCAAAATGTTTTTCAGCTAGATGTACTGTAATGCACTGATCTCTGAAGAGGCACAACAACTCAGCTACTTTGCAGGAAATGAAATAGTTCTGTTTCTAGCTCAGTGACCAGCTTGTGAAATCTGAGACTTTGAGTTTAGGGCAAAGCACATAAAGCAGTGTAAGGTTACTAGATTACAAAGCTGCAATGATATGAAAATCAAAGGATAGGAAGTTAAAGCTGCAGACGCTGAGGCATCCTCGATTTTCTTATGAATTCTAATGCAGTACCTCTCTATTATGGTAAAATATTCTTACTGTAATCTGCTGCTGTAGTTAAATGCTGTGCACTGTGCTGTGGATTATTTTGTAAGGTGAAAACTACTGAAACCCAAAACTGAAAATAGTTTGCATTTATATTTGCTTACATCTTTTCACATTATCAGCGTAGTACAGTATGTCAGTTCTGCCCATGAGTATACATAAAATGCCATTACTGGGTGTGTTTGGGGCAGTGATTGGAGTCCTGGCTAAGAGCCTTGAATTTCCTGCTCTCTGATGTGGTGTCTGGTGTGGCTGTTCTGGATGACCTCCTCTGGAGGTTGGGTGGTGCAGAATGTGCTGCAGTATAATTAGAAGTTTGTTATTAGTAGTAGCGGAGCGTTCGGTAACCTAGATGAATATACTTAAATATGGGTTATAAACAATGAAAAAAGGATTTCAAATCCTATACTTATTCATATAAAAAAACAAGTACAAAGTAAAAATAAGATTTCAAAATGGATAGGATTGTATTGAGCAGGGCATATTTTGTCAGTCACCCGAAAATTGAAACAACTTTCACTACACCCATCCATTTTCAAACTGCTTCTTCCAATTCAGGGTCATACAGTAGGTTAGCTGGAGTCTATCCCAGCAAGCAGTGGGTGCAAGGCAGGTTAGACCTTGGACAGGATGCTGTGAAATGCAACTTGTATTTGTAGTTTTTTCAATTAGTATTTCAGACTCTCAAATTTGTACTGAAATTTCTCTGTGAGAAGAACTGCAATAATAAATATAAATGAAATAAAAATTAAAGCAAATATTGTATGTATTGCAGATTGCAGTGTTGGACAGTCAGTCT